AAAAAACAACACAAAAATATTCCAGATGTGAACAGATTGAACATATCATTGGACAGGACTAATTGATATATATATATATATATATGCGAAGAAATTGAGAAGATTGCTAGAATGAAAAGAAACACTACCACGACTGTTTACGTAATACATGCCGTAATAATAATCATAATAGTAATAATATTAATGCCTAAAGCAGTCTTAAGGTGAAATTTAGTGAATAGTTAGGCGAAGCTGTTAAACCGCAGATATATACATACATATACATATATTATTTCATGCATTTATTCCTCTTCATGAATTTGAATAAAGCAAGAACTACAGTAGTGGTTTGTGCAGAATAATATGGTACCATCACTGCTTATTTCGCTGACTTCTCATCAGCTGCTTACAGCCCAAATAAATTATGAAGTTTACGTTGAGAAAAGTTTTAACATACTTGCAAATTTTACATGTTGTCAGTTGACAAAAACTTCCACAATAAGTGAACAGTGCTCAGAAAATTGCGCTTATATAGTTATTTACACAGGCAGTTCAAGTTTAAACAAAATAAATGTATGCATACAATGATAAAGGAGTTACGCAATAAAGATGAAATATGCGCTAGACACAGAGTGACTAATAAATTAGGTAACAATGTAGTGAGTTGAACTCAAATCATAGAAAAAAGAGACCAGCGAATTACAGATTATAAAAGCGATGAGGTTTAAGAAAAAGATTACGTAATCAGATGAGAGAATAAAGGCATTCAGTTACCAGGGCAAGGGAAAACTAATAACTGCTTCTTTCTGAACACATAAATCTGGTTTCAAGCGTTTGATAGAAATTGCTTCAGCAAGCTTGAGGAGAATGGAGCTCCTTTGTCTATTGATAATTCTGGAGGATTTCTCGATTCCTAACTCGTGACCCGTGTCTAGGAGATGTCTGGTAGTCACGCTACCTTAAGAGTTTGCTCCCTTGAGGCGTAGGCTTATCGGCACATGTTGCATCTGTCTTGCCTTTCTGACAGTCATCGACTTTCAACCTCAACGGGTCATTCAGCAAAGTTTTCATTCTTGCGATGTAGTTATCCTTATCCATTTGTACTACCCTCTCAGAAATAATGAGAAAGTCGTCATACTGCGACCCGACAAATGCTCAGGAGTGGAACTATCCTGATATATTCATGTATTTACAAGTGCACCATTGTTTCAAAGGTACAGTGTTAGCTAGTCTTTTCAGGGATATGAGTCCTATTCCAAGCCGATGACTTGCTAAACGTAGCCTAGTTTCCTGGCTGATTATAAGCTCAGAAGAGATGCAAAGGTTGAGTGAATGTGAGGCTAGCAACCGTGACCGATTTAAACAAAGCCATCATTACCGGAACTTTAAGATGCTTGAGGCTCTGTGTTTCACTTGGGACGCAGAGGATTGAAGGTATTTTTGACAGAGTATTTTCTTTAGTAAATTTGCTAGTCAGACTCATTACTGTGAAGCACCGAATATATGAACGGATATCATTCGTTGGATTACATAACCTGTCCTTATTATAATTCGAGTTTGAACACTGTGCATGAACTGACGTGCGAATTTCATCCCGATCTCTTTTTAAGCACTGTTTGAACAATATGCTGTTAGCAAGTTACGGTTGGCGTTGTAGTTAGAATAAGAGTTAAGGTGAGGACTAGGGTTAGGGTGTTTGATAATTATGATTTGTATTTCTTTTTATAAATTCATGGGAGGGGAGTATTTTCTCGTTCAGTTAGATGAAACCGTTTTGATAGCTATGAAACCTGAAAGCTGATCACTTTCATTGTAATTGGGTATAATTTTTCCTTAACGTCAGAGTGAAATATCATTTTTAATGTGTTTCACAAACATTGTGTTAATTTCTCTTTTAAATAAACGACTTTTTGATGTAGAATACACGGCAGGTTCTGTCACCCACCGAACTGTGTGTGTGTTTAAGGTCATTAGTACCTTCTCACTCAGTGATCTAGCTTGTAAATAGCGTATCATATTGTGTTCAATGAAGTACATTCTGCTATGAAATTCACGTGCGAATAGGAATCCAAAAAACAGAATGGCCTGTCTAGATATCTTCCTTGCCAGACAACCATATGGTAGTATAAAGAGAAAATCGGAAAGGAAAAGCATATAGACAGGACAAAATATACACACTTTCACAGCTTCATTCCTCTCTAGTACAAAAGACGTTTAGTAAGGAGCCTCATCCACATAGTTAAAGCTAAATGCTCATAATAGGTAATTGAAGATGAACTAAGGATTGTATATAGAATCCTAATTGAAAATAGCTATCTAGAAAAGTTCATCAAGAAACACATGACCAAGAAAGCAGAAAAAGACCATTCTCGATTTGCAAATAAGAAGCCTTTATACATACGACTGCAATTCAAGGGCGGTATATCTAGCTAAATAATTATGACGAAGTTAGGCAAATCAGTTCAAAAAATGTTTAATGCTGGAAAACTACAAGTTCTTTTTTCTACGAGACTGATGGTGACTTCTCAACTGAAAGATGAAGTACCTACACTGACCACTTCTAATTACACTCACCAATTCAAATGAACTTATGAAGAGAGTTATATTGGGCGTTGCTCTAGGAATTAGATTTTTCGTGCACACTTGGGAACATCTACCAGTCTGGTTAAATAAAGATGTAGTGAGAGGCATCAGTAGCCTGATATTAGAACAACTGGTATAAACCGGCCACAAGGGCAGTATTGAGCAATGCTTCTCCATTATCGAGAGGGTTCAAAGTAAACTGCCAAAAACATCCAGGTACTACATACTCAAAAACAGCAGAGGCTATTGCGATTCGCCTGAAACAAACCAACAGTGCTCTATGTTCAAAAGAAGAAAGTCCGGCCACTACTACTGCCTTCAGTGAAGACTATAAATTCATGAATTTGTATTATTAAGTTTCCTGATTTGCCTGTCTGATAATCAGGGTAGTGTATTTTTATGTGATGCTATCAAACTGTAATCCACTGAAATTACTGCTACTGATTCGATGCTGTTTAAACAACATTAATGTTATTATTAATACTAATTCATTCGCTATTATATACATCTAACAATAGCATCTGATGAAGAGCAGGTTGTCTAAAAGAATATTCTTTGTTCAGTAACCACTCGTTTCAAAGGATGTTAATGGGCATTTTTAATCCATAAAAATATTTCAAACAGTTTCATTTTGAAAATAAAACACATCCCACTACTTTATTTGTGAATACAATGAATAGTTCTCAAGTGGATATGAATTATTTACCCAACTTTAAACAAAATAAACAATCGAAGCCCCAGTTAAACTAAAACTCCCATACTAGATTAGTTTATATGATACGACATGCAGTGAGTCAGTAACTGGTCGACTAAATGGCATTTCGTGCACAATTTATTGCATATAATAATTTGCTTCATATATTTCACTCTCCTTTGTTACTTATCACAATTTTTTTTCGATTTTGTGATTATTGCTTGATTCCACACCTTATTTTTGGTACAAGTATGAAATTTTCAGCATGTGATATTGGTAGCCTAAATTTCGCAGGCCGACCATTGGTATCAGATATGTGTCGTCAGGGAATCCAACCCCTGACCATGTGCATGGCCGGTGAGAGTCTTAACCGCTGTGCCACAGTTTTATGTATATTCGGGATAGGCATTGCATCCTTTCACGTGTTTAATGGTTGATTCAATGAACAAAGCTTAGATGACTAACCACGCTCTCCATTTTATTTTATTTTTTTTAAATGCTTTTATCCTATCCCATCCACCCTAATTTGAGATTACAAGGAAGTGAATGCATTACAGTGGCAGAGCTTTTGTCAAGAATATTTAACCTGCCAGGCTCAATCCTTCCAGCTGTACTATATTGCCATATGTTATATCAAATAAACTGATCTATTATAGAAACATATTCCACTAAAGTGCCCAGATTCTACACTTACATTAAATATGGCGAAAAATATTCATTTAGATATCTATAAAACTCAGAATAATTGAGCAAAAAACAAGCTTTTCGATAATTTCCACTTCTGGCTCTACAACTATATATTTATGCTTATATACATAGAATATTCTAGACTAGTAGTCAATAACAATATTAGTGTTTTTCAAATAATATCGATTTGTAAAGATCACGATGGAATTACAGTTCATTGAAGATGCTTAAACTAAAGCAATAATAAAGATATGGTAGGAAATAGAATATCAACTAAAATTAGAAGAATTCCACAAAAATTAAGGATCATTCAAACCTATATAGCCAAGGTAAGGACAATGTCTGAACTAACTTCTTTTGAATGCATAAATTAGGCTTCCTAATGGGGATCCCAACAGCCAGCCTCAGCAATATTTAGTAATTGAACTCCTAAGGCGAAATTAGAATTTGTTGGTATGCGGTAAATGACCCTGAAAGCCTGGTTAACATCACTTTTGTGTTCTATATTCACAAGATGAGATAGAATACCGCTACGAATGGATTTTGTTTGTCCTTCACACTTAACTACTATACAGTATGATGTCCAGAAATGCGACGATAAACACGCCTACCTTGTTGTACGGCCTGTGTAACTGGCTAACTCCACAGAAGCAGTTAAATTAGTAGATACACCCTCACAGAAGAGGTGAAATTAGGCAGTTTGTCTTTTACTCCCGAACGCAAAAGAGAAGTTGTTTTGAAGACACAGAGTAATTTGTCAGCATTTTTCCAAGGCGCTGTGTTAGTTATCTCCCTGATGTTGTCCCCAAGGAACTGCATTTCTAAGAATAAGGCCTTCATTTTTAGGAACTTTTGGTAACTTGGGCTGCTTTGATTTTAGATTCATGTTCTCATCAATAAACTTTTCTGGATAACTATTTTCACTCAGTAAATTGAAGTATACGCTGAAGATGTCACCCAGTAGGGTGATGAAAGCTTTGCAAATTAACCATCCAGCTCAGAGAACACAACCACATCAAAATTTATGTACATATTTGTGTTTTAACATAGAACTCACCTGTTATCAAATATATTTCACCTAGGACTGGACCAGTTTGAAATCGATCACAGTTGTAAATAATCTGACGAAAATGAGTTGGTTGCATAAACTGCTTGATATCCTATAATGAAAAGTAAACGGATATATGTATAAACTACTAGCGTTGAATGAAACGAACATCTCAGAATAAACTGAATACGAAGGAGTCAGAAACAGATCAGAAGAAACTGCTATTACGCAACGTTTAATATCTCATGAACATGATGACATATTATCGCTATTAGTTGAAATAGAGGTTTACGTCTGTATATCTTATTTTCGCCTAACAGGCTTTCTCTATCAAGACTGTAATTACACTTAAGGCATATGCGCTTAAAAAGTCTGACTGCAATAGGGGTGCAACAAAAACTTCACCAAAGGACAATGAGGTGTACTTTCACGATTTCGAGTTTGCTTGTAACCTAATTTTTGTTTTATTGATAATAAAGCAATAAGAAGACGTAATTTGTCTGAATCGTGTAATGTATTTGCGCAACACATTTCGAACAATCTGATCACACAAGGATTTGTCATAGGAATATATATGAAATTAATAAAGAGGTAAGAGGTGAGAAAATAGACAAATTAGGTCAAGTTAAAAGGACATATTCAAGGTCAAAATACACAATGAAGACCACTAAACCAAATAGCAGAGTTAATAGTACATCTGCTATGGTATCAAAACAAAATTTACCAAGGAAGGTTTAATGTAATGACGTGGACACACATACATAGGGAGGACTCATCGATCTCTGCAAGTAAGGGCTTCAGAGCATATTCCAAAATGGCTCCAGAAACAAATGGAATCATCAGAACCTATTAACGGTGAGAACAGGAGACCTAGCTCTTCTATTGCGAAACATATTATAGAGACAGGTCATAAAATTGATGTTAACAGATCTTTTAAACCTATCTATAAAACGTGTTTGGGGCGTATCCTAAAGTTTGTAGAAGCCCTAGCAATTAGAAAGTTCAAGCCACGTTTATGCGTTCAAAAACAATTTGTCATCACATTAAACCTTCCTTGGTAAATTTTGTTTTGATACCATAGCAGATGTACTATTACCTCTGCTATTTGGTTTAATGGTCTTCATTGTGTATTTTGACCTTGAATATGTCCTTTTAACTTGACCTAATTTGTCTATTTTCTCACCTCTTACCTCTTTATTAATTTCATATATATTCCTATGACAAATCCTTGTGTGATCAGATTGTTCGAAATGTGTTGCGCAAATACATTACACGATTCAGACAAATTACGTCTTCTTATTGCTTTATCTAAATTCATAAAGGGAACTAATTGTTTTAAATTATTGATAATAAGATTTTCAACGATTTCACTGTATACTGTTACATGTTTAATACTCATATGAATTGATATTAACACATCATTATCAGCTGAGTCGAGTAGCGCAGGTTATTTTGAGCTCCAGTGATCACTTCCATCCATTAGCGTGTGTCAGATACAATTTAACCAAATGTTTTATTATAGTCTTTTTGTTCGATAATTTTGAAACGTTCTTGGCGGCCTGCTTAAATTACTAAGCTGCTCAGTCGACTATCCATCAGTATGTATCTTATTTATTCTATTTCGTATTGTTTTAATTAACCGATTACATCTCTGAATCGCAATTTGTACTCTGGACTGTTTTCAAAGAGTATGTGACCTACAGGGATACAAGTGTTGGCTGTCAAGTAATTGTTTGATTTCACTTTTGGTCACGAATGGATATAAGTCAGAAATTCATTGAAAACGACAGAGTACTGAAGAGCTGAACAGTCGTCCTAGTTTGGGACTATTTTATTAGTATAAAACTATGACCCCCCTACCCGGGATTCAGCATAACATTTTCAGTTTGCATAGTGAACTTCTATACTATTTAGTCACTGGGAAAAAACCTAATGACCATCCGTTCAAACTTCTGTCGATTCCCGAAGCAGCTTGACCGCCAACAGATGTAGTCGGTGGGCTGCATCTTTCCATACATCCAAATCAGTGGACCTCAGTGGTCATGACTTCTCAATAAAATCTCAGAAAACATCATTTTGTAATGAGTGACTCGTGAGCACTTGGTCTGTAGGTCCACCGAATCAAGCATGAGGATAGATACAGAGAATGTTCAGGTTCGCAGAGAACACTAAACATTTCAAGTGTTCCCAAGTGGATGCAGTCATTCTTGACTGAAAAGTCCGAACATTACAGAGTATTTCAAATGTATCCGATAGTAAATTTTCCTTGATACAAACGAAAACCAACTGAAAGATGTCTTTATAAATAAATGTAATTTATAGAAGAATTTATAATTATAATTTCGTTTAATTCCTAGAGGAACATAAGGTTTCAGCCGCGTCTCTCCATAGCGTCCAGTTCTCTGCCAGAGCTTTCACCTGGCTCCAAGTCTGCCCACATGCTTTCATCTCCTCTTCACATTACCTCCTCCAAGTCACCCTTGCACTGACGACCAACTCGCCGCTCCCCTTTCGGTTCCACTCGAGGGCTTGTTTAGTGATGTTACTTGATGGTTTCCTCAGAGTCTGGCCAATACACCTCTATTTCTTCTTGCCTATTTGCTGCACAATCAGTTCCTAGTTGGTTTGCTCCCACAGATTCCTGTTGTTGATCCTTTTTGGCCATCTGATCTTGAGTATTGGGGGAAGACAGCTATTAATGGAGGTCTGTAGTCTGTTTGATGTTCTTCTTATGACGCGCCACGTCTCTGATCCGTATATTAACACTGACTTCACAGTGGAGTTGAAAATGCGGATGTTATTTTTGATGGTCAGTGCTGTTGACCTCCACACAGACTTGAGAGTAATGAAAACGTCTTGTTTTCCTGATCCTTGCTTTGATATCCTCGTCAGTTCCGTCGGCCTGTAGTTGAAACGATGCTTCCCAGGCTGGTAGGTAAAGGAGGTTGTTTCTTTCAGGTTCCTCCCATTTATGCTGGCTGATTGTTGTCTGTTGTTGTTGCTGTTGGTGTTGGCCAGGATCTTCATCACCTCTGTTTTCTCTATGTTCACCTGTAGTCCTAACTCTGATGCTTCTTCTGCCAGCTTGTTGCTTTTCACTTGCATATCTTCCAGTTTGTGAGAAACCAGACATATATCGTCGGCGAAGTCCATATCCTTCAAGTTCTTTTTGTGGGTGCATTTTATACCTGTCTCTCATTGCCTACTGTCTGTCGCATTATCCAATCTACCGCGATGAGGAAAATCATTGGAGATAGTAGGGAGTCAGCCAGCCTTGTCTTACTCCCGTCTTCACTTCGAAGGCTTCCGTAAGTTTCCCGTTGCGGAATACTTGGCATGCAGCTTTCTCGTATAACTGTTGGATGAGATGTATAATTGTCGATGGCACTCCGTAGTAGCGCAGTAGTTTCCAAATCACCTATCGGTCGACGCTCTGCTATCGAAGGCCTTTTCAAAGTCGATGAAGTTGAGTGAGGTAGACAGGTGACTGCCATTCTAAGCTTTCTTCAATGATAATCCGTAGTGTGGCGATATGATCAATACATGACTTGTTTCTCTTGAATCCAGCTTGTTCCGGTTATGGTCGAATTCAATTTAATTTAATTTTAACTGCCAACGAAACAGAAGTAGTAATTAAAGCAGAAAATAGATAAACTTTTCATAAGAAACATTCTGTCTATATCTCACCTTGTATACCTCATAAATATAAGCCAGGTAATACCGTTGACCATTTGGTTCTATTGACTCTTTGTAGATGTAGACACGCATAACTGAAATCAATTAATAAAAGAAACAGGATTGTAAAAGAGACAGTTTATCTTTACAAAAAAAACCAGAACATACACTATTTACCAAAAATGAATAATCAGACAGCAGTAAAAGGCTTTTACCGGTACACATTGTATAATTTCACTTGCTTAAAGTGCATCTGTTGCGGTAGGACACTATAATGACAAACTGTGATCGTGCAATACAGAAACTGTAGACTGAAATTTCCACTTCCAAAAACTCTTTGCAGTCTTCTTTCTTGTCTTCATTGCATGGTCTCTGTGCTGTTTCATGAAAATCTTTTATTTACTCTCTTCCAGATTCATTCAAATGCTTCATTTATTCAATATACTTGTCGAAGACATCTTAAACACAACATACTACCTATAAGTTCGTGTCAGTAGTATATGACAAGACCTATTGTTTGATGAGCATTCACAGTTTTACGTCTGAAATAACATATTCTAAGCTATCCTAGAACGCCCACCAACCACACACGTGGTCTGGAGATGGATCCTCGGCTGACGCACTCTCACTACCTCGCTAAGCCGGTAGTAAGGCTGATGAAGATGGGAGACTGGGAATGAGATTAGCAAACCCATCTCTTAAAAATAAACACCACTGCTACAGAAACTTAAAAGCTGTAGTTTGAAACCCTGTCTTCCCCTTTCGGAACGTAAAGGAATAAAAAACCTGTGCAAATGGAAAAGCAATAATTCTAAAAATGAAGCTTGTGGCGTATTAGCTGATCGACTGAAAGACATTTGGCGTTATATTATTATTGTTCCCTTGGGTTCCTAGTGGAACATAGGGCTTCAACTAAACTTCTCCACTTGCTTCTATCTTCTGCTGTACTTTTCACCTGCATCCATATTAGTTCAGACTGTTTCAGCTCCTCTTCACACGATCTCTTCCATGTCACCCTTGGACGTCCCACTCGTGGCTTCCATTTCGGGTTCCACTCAAGCGATGCCCTGATGCACGCGCGATGTCACCTCGGCGAGTGTCCAGTCCATCTCTTCGCTTTCTCCTGCACATTTGTTGGGTGATCGGTTCTTGTTTTGTTTGTTCCCATAGTTTCTTGTTAGTGATTCTTTCCGACCCGGCCATCTGATCCTCAGTATAGATCCAGCGAGGACAGCTGTTGGTTGATAAAGGTCTGGTCTGCAACAGGCTGTTGGAAATATTCTTTGTGACCCGCCCGCTCGCCAACTTTCTGATCCGTACAGAAGAACTGACTGACTTGAATTGTTTGTATTGAAAATCCGACCGAATTTTGTTGTTGATGGCGGCTGAGTGACGAAGATTTCCAGATTGGTTTCAGGTTGACGAATATGTTTCTCGCCTTCCCGATTCTCACTCGATTTGACATCCTCGTCCACTCCAACTTCCTGTAGTTGAGACAATTCTCAATGCTAGATAAGTGAATGAAGTATCCTCTTTCAAATCTCTCCCGTTGATGGTGATTGACGCTGTATGTTTCTGTTGTTGTTGTTGGTTGGTTATTTTCATAACCTCAGTCTTGTCTATGTTCACCTGGAGTCCTGTCTTTGCCAGCTGCTTCTTCCACCAGTTTGTCGGTTTTCGCTTTTAAGTCTTTGATTTTGTGTGACATCAAACATAAATCATTCACGCGCGAAATCCAGGTCTTCTAGGTTCTTCACGTCTGTCTGTCCAGGATATCCCTGTCTTCTGGTTTCCCACCCACCGTCTGACGTATAATCAAGTCCACCACAATTAGGAATATCACTGGTGATAATAAGCACCCTTGTCTGACTCCTGTGTTTACTCCAAACATCTAGGCGTTTAGTAACTAATAATGTGATTTAGTTTGTGCTGTCGGCTATTACATATACAAACAAAAATTATTATTGTACCCTTGCATTCCGAGTGGAATATAAGGCTCTAACAGCAAATCTCCATTTTGTCCTGTTTGCTGCATTCCTCTTAAACTGGCCCCATGACTGCGCATAGACGTCTTCATCCTCTCCTCATGCGACCTCCTGTGAGTCACCCTTGCTTCCATCCACAACTCATCGTTTCCTACTCGGGTTTTACATTCGACAGTCTGGGGAGCAGTGTCATTCAACGACTTCCCTAACGTATTTCCAGTTCATCTCCATTTTATTCGGCGTATTTGCTTAACAATGATGTCTTGATTGATAAGGGTATCTTTTTCATTAGATATGCGAAATACAGGGTTTCAGAATAGATCTTTCGTGCTGTTTGCCTCTTGTCACATAAACGTGAGTTTCCTTGTTTGAACAAAGTTGAAACTAACTACTTAGCTTTTGTAGTCAACACCGAAGGTTGTGATTATGACTGATATGATTATGAACAATAAATTTTGTTCGAAATGTCATCCAGTAAATAATACTGTTTCACACTGTGAGATATATATCCAATAAACAAACTGATATGGAATTAGTGATTACCACAGTGCCCAAGATTCACACATGAATTAATAACGATGCATTACTCTGAATATCAGGAAAACTAAGGAGGACGATAATGCAAATTCATGAATTTACAGTCTCCAATGAAGGCCAACCAGGACAGTAGTGGTGGCTGGACTTACTTCTTTTGCACACAAAGCACTGGTTGTAGAAGGCGAATCACGATAGCCTCTGCTGTTTGCAGGGAGTAGATAGTACCTGGATGTCTTCGGCAATTTATTTGGCACCTGGTAGATGATAGAGAAGGATTCTTCAAGGTTGTCTTTGTAGCTGGTTTGGACCGGGTAGTCTAGTTTCGAACTGTCGGTGGTATTTACTATATCTTTACTAACCATACAAGTAGATGTTCCCGAGCAGGACTGATGTTATTTCTTCGATTTAAAGATGAAGAATCTACACTACCCACTTCTAATTGTATGTACTAATTCAACTGCGCTTGTGGTGGAACGAGTTCTATTGGCTGTTGCTCCAGGAACTTGATTTTTCATGAGAATATTCACCAGAGTGGCTAAGTAAAGGTGTGATAAAAACCATCAACATTTCGATACTAGACCACCAGGTCCAAACCAGCTACAAAGACAACCTTGAGGATCTTTCTCTATCATCCACTGGGTAACAAATAAATTGCCGAAGACATCCAGGTACCGTCTACTCCCTCCAAACAGCAGAGGTTATCGTGGTTTGCTCTATACAACCAGTGCTTTGTATGCAAAATAAGTAAGTCCATATTAGATGTTGGAGGCAACCGACAGGGAGCCTTGGACCAAGGTTTCCTGCTAGTTGGCACTCAACATTCAGCAAAGAGTATATGCAACCTTGAAGGAACTCATGTCCCTTCTGAGATTCGAACCAGCATCACCCAGTGCTGCAATCAGAGACGTTACCACTGAGCTATTTGGGCTCACCATTGACCTCCTGTAGGACTGTACTAGGATACTTTGATTGGACACTAGTGAGTAACTAGTGTGATGTGTCTAGTCCTTTCTTTGATGCAGACTGAATTCTATCAGTCAGGTTTGCAATGTGGCCACCATTCTGGGTGACTTCCCATCATGGTGCACATTGATATGATGATATTAGATAGTTGGTGGCTACATTGTAAACCTGACTGATAGAATTCAATTTGCACCGAAGAAGGGACTAGACACGTCACACTAGTTACTACTGTCCAATGGAAAAAGTAAGTCCATGTACTACTACTGTCCTGACTGACCTTCAGTGGAGACTTTAAATTCATGAATTTATATTATCGTCTTCCTTAGTTTTTATGATATGCAGTGTAGTGTATTGTCACGTTGATGCAGCGGAACTTTAATCCACTAACATTGCTATTATTGATTCGATGTTATTTAAACAACATTAATATTGTTAACAACACTAATTCATTCACTATAATGTATATATATAAGTGTAGAACCTGGTGAAGAAGAGGCTATCGAAAAGAATCTCCTTTGTTCAGTAACCACTTTTTTTGACAAAGTTTTAATGGGCATTTTTAATCAGTTGAAATGCTTAACTTCTCTTTTTAACATTGATTTGTTATAACAAGCGATTCAAAACAGGCGTGGTTACAGATATACAATACTGTCGATCAAGTGTTTTAACATTGTTCTGAAATCACAAAGTTTATTATCCCAAATATGTAATAAGTACATAATTTAACTATAAATAAGTTTTTTTAGGCATGTGTATATATGTTTGCATTTATATGACATTATTTACTTGACATCTCCTTGATATACTTATTTCGTAATACAATCCTATTTATTTTAAAAACGGATACTGAATGACTTGAATGACCTTATAAGTTCATTATACCATATATACCAAAAGAAAAAAGAAAACATAGCGCAGAATAACACGTTCAACTTCTTCTACCGACCAGCTTATTGATGTGCTATAAAAGCTATAGGCATATTTTTTACCTATCTCTGTCATGAACTACTTCATTAGGTCAAGTATGATTTAAAGACACCAAAATTATTACTTACTGATTCAAAAAACACTTATCTAACGCTTAATTAAAATGACGGTTAAAGAAGGAAGCGACAAAAACCACACCCATCATAAGCTCAATTCTTTAAAGTGTACATTCTTTTAAATCACAACAGGACGCAGATTTGATTGTTACTTAATTTAATTATCTGTGGTAGAGACAAGAAGTAGTCATTGTTCTGTTCTTTTTCGTAATTCATCGTCGCATTTAAAAAGGCACGAAATAAAAGTTTGGCCACTAGTCAATAACTAGCGGAATGTGTCTAGTCCTTTATTCGGTACAGGCTGAATTCTATCGTCGGTCAAGTTTGTTATGTGGCCACCATGCCACTAGGTGGTTAGGCATCATGATGCACTGTGAATTGTCGACATTAGATTATTCTTGTTTCCTTTAGTTCCTAGATGAACATAGGGCTTCAGCCGCACCTCTCCATTGTTTTCCGTTTTCCGCCAACGTTTTCACCTGGCTCCAAGTCTGCCCACACGTTTTCATCTCTCCTTCACTTGACGTCATTCTCCACGTCACCCTTACACTGATGACCAACTCGCCG